GCTTGATCAGAATCTTTTGTCTTGCTGCCATTCTTCGCGCCTCTTGTCCCCCCAACTCATTTGTTCTAGGTAGGTGGTCGAGCCCCAGTTGACTGCTCCGCGGGCCGGAGCAAGAAATTGGGCAGCAGGGTAGTGACTGGAAGGGGGTCCCTGGAGGGCTGGGAGTGTTCTTCTATTCTTGATCTGGTGCTGGTAACATGGGAGTATTCATTTCGTAAGAATTCATGGAGTGGTAAGCTTATGACATACACACTGTACTGTAGGGTATGTTCCAGTAAAAAAAAAATTAAGTTTAAAAAAACAATGATGGCAATGGCTATGCTGAGGAGAAAGATGGGAAGGGACGGCTATTCTGTCACTGAAGCAAGAGGGGAAGTTATCACTAGGGGAAGGTAGAGATGTAGGTAGTGCTGTGCTGGAGCTGCCTCATACTAGAAACACGTCTTCCCAACTCAGTGACGTCACAGTGGTACCTATGATGTAATGTTGGTATTTTGAAATCAGCCATGGTGGGAGTATTTACACCATGGAAATTGGCAGGCACCTCAGACCAGGGTCTTTTCTACTTTTAATTAAGAGCCACTCACCACTCACTATACCATTGGGTGTAGTAAAGCAAGGACATGCTTACAAACAGCTCCATTTGCGCTCTGTCGTGCTGATCCCTGAACCCTGAGGACACAGGGCCGAACAAGGCCCACAGAGATGGCACCCACAGCGCTCACAGATTGTGCAGAAAAGAGATAAATAAGTCTACTCAGCAAAATAAGAAAATGCTCAGTAGGAGTTCCAGGAGAGTCTTCTTTTGGGTAATTTCTGATTAGAGTTTTGCAAAATGAATAGGAGTTTTCCACAAGAGTGGGAAAGTGGGCCCAGCAGAAGGAAAAGCACGTGCAAAGACTTGGGGTGTTTAAAGGCTGCATCTGTTTCCTGAAACTTAATGTGCTTGATAAGGGTAGCACAGGGGGCGAGGACTGGCCGAAACCAGCCCACAGGTGTGCTTTAAGAAATATTTGGATTGATCATCAAGATGTAAATAGTTAAGAATTTTGTATAAAAATCCAGGCTTTTCTAGAAAAAAAAACAAACAAACAACAGAAAATCTGGTAACTTTGGTCCTGCCTTTCCACTGAGCATAATGAAAAGTGTTTTCCATTTCTCCACAGTCCCCACCACTCCCTATAAACTCCCAACACTGTGGCCGGAGGTCTGTTACCATTTTACCATCTTGCTCACAGTATTTGCTGCTTTCCTTGTGACAGAGCAAGACCTAACCACACTCACATCTCAATTTAGAAAAAGAAAATGAAATAAGTCCAGGAACTACATTTTCCTCACCCTTGACTGGCTTTGCCCTTTATCTTTCCTGCCCAGTGGCCTCCGTAGATGTTTGAATTTGTCACCCCTGGTGTAGCATTGAGATATAAAGCTGGCTCACAGTGGTTTTATGTGCCAGCTCAGAAGTGGATTTTGTCCTTGAGGCTACGGGCAACTATTGAAAAATTTTAATTCAATTATTCAACTAATAGTTTGTAGCAAGAGGTCTTGATGCCCAGTTTGTATCCTTCCAGCCTCCCCAGTTTCAACAGGCGCCAGTTGCCATCCACTGCTGTTGTCTGCAGCTGCTCCTGGCTGGAGGGCTTTTCCGAAGCTTTCGATGGCTTTTGTGCCCCATGCAGCAGGCTGGAAGCACCAGGGAATAATCCTCCTACCTCGGCAGCGCCTCTCAACCTGACAGGAGTTGGTGGACAGATGGACCACCTCCCTCACCCCTTGACAGTGTCCTACACTGCCCCCTCAGAGGTCCCCAGTGTGGTTGAGTTGCAACTGCCCACAGAGGTAGCAGCATCCATTGTTAGCTGTCTTCTGTCTGTCCCTGTGTCCTGCTGGTGTTTCCTGGGGTCACCTCCTAGATAAACAACTTGCTTTTTGGATCCTTACCTCAGACTCTGCATCTGAGCAACCCGAACTAAAACCTGGTTATTAAGCAGCTGCTCTGTGCTGTGGATCCAAGAAGACACTTTCTGCCCTTGGGGGTCACTTTCACTCCATCATGAAGCAGAGAAGTCGTGAGCTGAACCGCTGTTGCCGGGGACAGTCTGCACATAAAATCATTACACTCTATACCCAGAATTAATGCAATGTTATATGTCAATTATACCTCAATGAACATTTTAAATAAAATAAAATTTAAGGTATATCCCAAATTCTTTGATACTCTTCAAGAGATGAAGCCCCATCCACCCCCTTCTTGAGTGTGAGCTGGCCGGTGGCCATCTTCTAGTGAGCAGCATGTGACACAGGTGGCACAATGTGGCAGGGCTTCCAGCCTCTGTCCTGGGGCAGAAGCAACGGGCTCGGCCTGGCACGGGGTTCAGGTGGGCTCTGCCCCTGGCGGATCCCAGAGGGAGCTCTGGAGCGCGGTCTCGCAGTTGTTCCGCTTGAGGCACGGGGGCTGGCCACATCTCAGACAGCCACTGGCCGTGGGCTGCACCTGGGTGGAGGGAGAACCCGCCCTGGGGCCCCATCTCCACAGACCGGGGCTCCCATGAGCAGGAGACATTCTCCAGAGAAGAGGTGGGTGGGAGCCATTGGTAGTCAGTACTGGAAGCAGGTGGAAGATGGACGCCCTGGCCCAGAGAAGCGGATCTGGGTGGGGGCCCAGCCGCATACGGGTGGGGGTGGGGCTCAGCCCCATCATTCATTTTATTTTGTTCAATTTTTATTTTTTTTAAATCTTCAGTTGAGACTGTTTATTGACTTTTAAAAGGAGAGAGAAAGGGAGAGAGAAAGATCCCTGTGAGAGAGAAGCATCAGTGAGTTGCCTCTCATTTCTGCCCCAGCTGAGGATCAAACTTGCAACCCAGGTATGTGCCCTGATTGGGGGTTGAACCTGCGACCTTTCGGTGTATGGACTACATTCCAGCCAACAGAGTCACCCGACCAGGGCCATTCATTTAAAATATTTTTATTTAGTAAACAGCTATCTAGCAGCAGTTGATAGATAAGTGTCTGTTAAAGAAAATAAGATGGAGTTTTTATTCATCTAGGATCTGTACACATTTAAATCTTCATAACAACCTATAGAACGAACATTGTTTTGCCAGCACTCCAGACGGCAGTCTCCCCCTCACCGCCCAGGGCCCACTGAGCCCCCAGCCCTGCCAGTCACCCCCATCCGTCACCCCCATCCATCACGCAGGCCAGGGCCCCCAGCTGGCCCGCCTCCACCTGGCACCTCCGCCTCCTGCTCCTAATTGATTCTTAATCTGCAGCCTTGGGGCAGTGCCGCCGGGGAGGCAGGTGGAAACCATTTCCTTCAGAGCCAGCAGTGCTGAGGCCAGTTGAGGGGGACCCCCACCCCAATTTCTTGCCATCCTGGGCTCTCAGGTCCCCTCCAAGCCTGGTGTCACTTTCCCTCTGTTGCCCTGGGAGCTTTGGGGGAGCATGTGGCAAAAAGAAAACCCCCAAAACCCATAGCTTTGGGGGGCCTTGGGAGATAGGACAGGGTTTGCATTATGGTGCCCACCAAGGTCCACTTGTCCCCCAAGCCCAGAGGTTGCACAGGGGCGATTCTTCCCACCACGAGGGTAATTCCACCCAGCAGGGGCAACTTGGCCACGTCTGGAGGTGTAATTTGGTTATCACGACTGGGAGAGAGGGTGCTACTGGCATCTGGGGGTGGAGGCTGGGGGTGCTGCTTGACACACCGCAGGGTGCACAGCATGGCCCCACCCCAGAGGATGCTCTGTCCTCAATGTCAACAGCACAGAGGCTGGGGACCCTGCCCTAGGCCCTGCCTCCCACTCTAAATCCTAGTTACTTCCCTCCTGCAGTGCAGCAAGCAGGGTGAGGGGAATGTGCCAGGACACAAGAGAGTCCAAGCTTCCCCAGGTGACTCTGATGTGCAGCCAGGGCTGAGAACCATCAGGCAGAGGGTCAGTTTTTAGTCCCCCTTCCCCTTCCTCTGGGCTCAGGGGTGGGGGCAATCTTTCAGCAGGGGGTAGAAGAGTCTGCCCAGGCAACAGCCCCACAGCCTTGGTCCCAGGGCCTCCCTGGGCGCCCCCACCCTGCGCAACCGGGGGATCAGAGACCCTCCGGGTGCAGAAGACTCAGGCGTGGCCCTGCCTGCCTGCCCCCCTGACCCTCCTTGGGGGTTGAGGCAGGGAGACAGGGGTTGAAGTGACAGGGCCCGGAGCCTCAGATGTGAAGACAAAGTCCCCAAAAATAAATGAGTGGAGGGAAGAGGAAGGCAGGAAGGAACCCCACGGAGAAGGAGTGAACTCGGGAAGGAAGAGGCGGGAATGGAGTGATATGAGCCACTGCGGGAGGCGAGGCCCAGGGTCCACATGTGCCTGAGCGCACAGGTCGCCTGTTCCCCAATACACACGCGCTCACACTCACGGGCTCACACTCCCTCACAGCCCCTGAAATCCCCACAGCCACATACTCTCAGTCACACACTGTCCAATTCTCACACACTCACATGCTCATATTCTTACCCCATCACACACTCTGACATCCTCACACGCTCATACACATCCACACACTCTCACTTTCACACGATCAGTCTCACCCTCAGAAATCATACACATGCACCCTCAAATTCTCACACACCTCACACTTCCCCAGATTCTCACACAATGCCCCAGCTGGTGTAGCTCAGTGGATTGAGTGCGGGCCCGCAAACTGAAGGGTCACTGGTTCAATTCCCAGTCGGGACACATGCCTGGGTTGCAAGCTGGGTCCCCAGAGGAGGGTGCACGGGAGGCAACCACACATTGGTGTTTCTCTCCCTTCTCTTTCCCTCTCTCTAAAATAAAATAAAATCTTTAAAAAAATTCTCACACAATCACGTGCTCACACATTCTCACGCACACTCTCACACAATCACACACTCGCACCGTTCACACTTATTGCCACTTCACACACACACGTTTGTTTAGTGTCTGTCCAGGACGTCAGCCCCACGCAGGCAGGGACTGTTGTTCCTGTTTCGCAAATACGGACACTTCCCGAATCTGCGTGCCATCCTTGTGCAGGGACCACGCTAATCTCCTCTGTGCTGTTCCCATTTCAGTACACGCGCTGCCGAAGCGAGGCAAGCACTGGGCGGGCATTTCATCTTGTTCACCCCAGTGCCCCTGGTGCCCGGAACAGGGCCGGACACGCAGGAGGCACTAGATTAAATGTGCAAAAACTCACACATCTCAAATTCTCACACAGCCGTGCACTCACACACATCAACACAAATTCCCATAGTTACACATTCACACACGAGCTCCGCAAATTCCTCTGTCTTCTCTTCCACCGGCCAAAGGCACCCTAAGACTCTGTAAATGTCAGCAGCTGTGCTACTCTGGGCCAGGCAGGCCAGGGAGACGGGGGTGGGAGGCGGGCGATGGGCTAGGCCCGGGCCCTCCATCCCCATAAGTCCGAAGATACTCGGGGTATCCCTCTGTTTTAGGACTGGGCAAATTTAGAGTAAAGACCACCCTTCTGAAACCAGAGCCATCCCACCCCAGCACTCCACAGGCCTCTGGGGCAAGGCGGAGCTGGGAGAGGCTGGAGGAGGAACCAGCCCCAGGCCTGGTGTGAGGAGGGCAACTGGGGTCCTTTGTCATTATTCACTCGCTGATCATTTTGCACTTTTTGATCAAGTACCTCCCCTATGTCTGACCCTGTTCTGGGTGCTAGGGTGGATGAGAAAAAAACCCTTGCCCACATGGGGCTGTTGTCCAGAGAGAGAGACTAAACAGAAGTGTACACAGGCGTGGCATTGTAATAAGGAATATGAAGGACGAAAAGCTGGGATGGAGCAGGATGGAGGGGAGGCTGATCTGTGGGCTGAGATTCAAGTGAGTTGATGCTGGGAAGAGCCGAAGGCAGGTGGAACAGCACAGACAAAGGCCAAGAGGCAGGTGTCCAGCTGACCACAGGGCAGGAGAGAGAAGGGTGGACAAAAAGCCCTAGGGGAGGCAGGAGCCACTTGCCGAGGGACCGTGGGCTTAGCCAGGAGTCAGCATTTAATTCCAAGGGAGCCAGGTCCGCAGAGGCTTTTAGAGGAAGGGGCTTCCTGGGGCTGCCGTAACAAATGACCACAGACCGGGGGGCTGAAAATAACAGAAATATATCCTCTCACAGTCCTGAGGCCAGAAGTCTGGGGTCAGGGTTTCTTCAGGGTCTATGGGTCCTGCTGGGCCTCTCGCAGCTTCTGGTGGCCAAAGACATCCCATGGCTTGTGGCCAGGTCACTTCAGTCTCTGCCTCTGTCCTCGCATGGCCTCCTCTTCTCTGTGTCTATCTGTGTCCCAATCTCTTTTCTCTTATAAAGACACCAATGATTGGCCCTGGCTGGTGTGGCTCATGGGACAATGGATTGAGCGCCAGCCTGCAAACCAAAGGGTCGCCTCTTTGATTCCCAGTCAGGGCACATGCCTGGGCTGCAGGCCAGGTCCCCAGCAGGGGGTGTGAGAGAGGCAACCACACACTGATGTTTCCCTCTTTCTTCCCCTCTCTAAAGAGAAATAAATAAATAAAAGACACCAACACCTGGATTAGGGGCCCATTGCTCAGAGCATCTCATTCTGAGATCCTTCCCTGATTTCATCTGCAAAGACCATATTGCTGAGGTCGTAGGTGTACAGGAATTTGGGGGTACAGGGGGACACTCTTCAACCACCACACTACGGTTTATTATTATCATTTGTTAATCCGCACCTGAGGACATGTTTCCACTGATTTTTTTTTAGAGAGAGAGGAAGGGAGAGAGAAGGAGGAAACACTGATATGTCCTAAGCAGGGACCAAACCTGAAATCTAGGTGTGTGCCCTGACTGGGAACCAAACCGGCAACCCTTCAGTGCACTGAACAATACTCCAACCAGCTGAGCCACACAGCCAGGGCATGGGGTTTAAATAGTGGTGTCTGTTGGCCCCTCGGGCTGGGTGCACTCCTGGGGGGATCTCCTCTCTGATGGTTTTCTTGCCCTTTACACCCGCGCTGGCCTCCCCACCACGGTGCCCTTGCAGTCCCAGGCTTGGTCCCATCCAGCCTGGTGGGAACCTGCCCTCAGTTCTTCATTTCATCCCAGGGTGCCTTCTGAGTGGGCTTCGCTCCACCTGCAGCCCCCCACTGTGAGGACCTGGGCATTTCCATCCTATTCTCCACCCCAGAGACCTGGCTGGAAACTAGCTAATTATGTCCCTCCCCCTGAGCCAGTCCGGTGGGGCTGAGTGGCGATGGGCAAGCGCGCCCTGCGTCCACGGCCAGCGGCCCGCGCGCCAACACTCACAGATTTCTATATATTTTTAATTCCACAGCAATACTTTGATTAGAGAGCCGATGTGTTGTGTATGACCTCAGGGACCTCATTATTTTTCTAACTCAAATAAATACGGCGTTGGGAAAGCAGGGAGGGGTGGAGAGGGGTGGAGAAAAGGAAAGATTCAGGAAATCTCATCTGTAAAAAGAATTCAGGCCTTAATGAGCTTTTAGGATTTGCCAGCCCCCCTCCCTCCATGATCTATAAACAGAGGACGAGGCTTCTGACTTCAGCTGTGGAATTTCGGGACGCAGAACAGGAGGGCATAGCAGGCGATGGTGCTCATCTGGGTGTCTAGGTTTGGGGGGGTTCCAGGTGATGGGAGGATGGAAATTGTCCCAGTTGGAGCTCAGTGGGCATCGCCATCATTTGGGGGCCCTGTTTGAACGGAGTATTGGTCTGAGAAAGATCTGGAATTTCCTAATTGACTAGGGCCACTGGAGCTGGGCCCATACTGGCACGAGAAGGAGCACAGGAGAGGTGGCTGTGCATTATCCTTGTGTGTCTGGAAGTTCTTCTCCGGAACTTCCTCTGGGAGAGGATGGGTGAGCAGTCGGGAAAACAGGCAGGGCAGAGCAAGGAAAGCTGGACCCTGGGATATGCACTTGATGTCCAGCCAACCCACCATCCTGCGGGGGCAGACAAGCCTCGGGTCTGCCCAGTGGCTGGGGTGGGGCTGCCACCAGCCTAAGGAGCCCCTTCAGTGGCTGTGAGGTTGGGGTGGGTGTGGACAGAGTGAGCTGGTGACCATGAGTTACCAAAAAAACTGGATGACCTCCGAGTCACTTCCCATGTGCATCCATTTGCTGGGAAGAGCAAAGTGGCTTCCCAGAGCAGGCAACGACGCCAATTTCAAATGAAAGATGAGTTCAATGGGCAGAAATGAGCTGGAGCTGAGAAATTTCTGTGTGATGAAAATTTCAGGGAGCAAGACAGACCCGGGGCAGCTTAAGGACGCAGGGGGGTGGGAGGAGAGGGAAGGGGTGAGAGAAAACTTCCCAGGCTTGCAAAGACCAGTAGCTGAGGGGGGCGGGGTGGGTAGCAGGCAGATACTCAGGCCTGCACAAAGAGCAGGAAGCGGTTTTCTCCACCCCAGTCTCAAATGGCAGTCCCCCCCCATCCCTCACTTCCTCTCTACACTGCTGTCACCCTTTGTCGTGATGTTTGTTCCTCATCTGCCTCCCTCCCAGACTGGCCTCCTGCCTCGCCCCACCTGAGGGCAAGGTGTTTGTCTGTCCTGAAAGGTGGGCAGGAAGATGCCAGGCAGCGGGGCCATCCTCAAAGTGTACGCAATGGTGTAAACCAGCTGAGCTTTGTAATGTGTGACAATTCCCCTACCTTGGTCAATTTTAAGCTGTGAAGGTGATGTCACTGAGGGAGTGAAGGGGTGCTACAGACTGAATGTTTGTGCTGCCCCCAATTCACATGTTGAAATCCTACCCCCAAGTTGATGGTATTAGGAAGTGGGGCCTTTGGAATGTGATTAGGTCATGAGGATGGTGCCCTCACGAATGCCATTAGTGCCCTTATAAAAGGGACCCCAGAAAGCTCCCTGTCCCTTCCACCATGTGAGGACACAGGGAGAAGATGGCCACTTACAAACCAGGAAGTCAGCTCTCACCAGACACTGAATCTGGTTGCCTCCTGATCTTGGCCTTCCAGCCTCCAGAACTGTGAGAAGTCTATGATGTTACAGAAAATCATACATTGAATAGCTAATAAAGAACAGACATTTATTTCTCAGAGTCCTGGAGGCTGGAAGTCCCCGGGTTATGACATTTTGCCATAGCAGCACAAACGGACTAAGGTGGAGAGTGAGGGGCTGTCCAGATGGGTGTAAGCCTCAGTGGGCTGGTGAATCAGCTGGGGCGAGGAGACCTGACTGCTAGCGTTTGCCAATCTCCATGGTGTAAATTCTCCCACCGTGGCGATGTCAGGCTGTGAAAGGGCTGTTGCTGAGCCCGGAGCTCGGAAGAGAGAAGCACAATTGGTTCTTGTGGGCCAGTTTGATCTGGCTCAAGTGCACTACCGGGTCTCATCTCCTGGCCTGCAGCTGGCTTTTCCAATTTTGGCTCAGGTTAAAGGGAGGGGAAGAAAGAAGGTGGAGCAAGCTTCCTGCTCTCCTCCCATCCCAGGGCTGTTGTACTTGCTGTTCCCTCTGCCTGCTATGCTCTTTCGCCAGATAATAACTGAGTTTTTCCCACCAGTTCTGAGTGGATCCCATCCCACCTTCCTGCAGACCCTGCCCCCCTCATCAGCCAGCACTCTGTGAGCCCCCTGCCGTGGCCGCCCAGGCAGGTGTCATTACTGCCTTATCCCATTTCATGAATGTGGGAGGTGAAGCACTTGCCTCAAGACACAGAGCCAGAGAGCAAGACACTGGCTGCTGGATCTGCTTGCTTAACAGTGGGCTTTACCACCACTCTCTTGATTCTTCTCCCCAGTACTTTGGGGTCCTTCAACTGCTTCGCGTGTTAAAGAGAGGTGTGAGCACGGCCAAGTCACTTCTCTGAGCCTCAGTTGTCCCCTCTGCACATGCGCACAGAGTAGCCCCCTCCCCCCACACAGTGTTGTGGGCCTTTGTGGAGGAACTCTTGGTTGGGGGACCTGCACAGCCCGGCTTCTTTACTTGGGTAATACACTAGGGCCTCGAATAGCATCGATGAGATGCCACAGGAACTGAACTCTTGTTTATACCAATTCGTCTGTGGCAAAATTGGTTTTGTTATCTGTTGTTTTTCCTAAGTTCCAAGAATCTATTGATGATGTTAAGTGAGGACTTACTG